GATGTGAGCACTTCTCCAAGGCTCATGACAAGTGATCTTTGTGGTTTCTAACAATGAACTGACATTGGTATAAGTGAGTATAGAGAAAAAGATAAGGGTTAACTTACTCTCTTCCCAAAAGATGGGGAAAGAGAGTAATACACAATTAGACAAGAGTACATATATCTAAGCAAGTAAAAACAAAAAACAAAAGATCGGGAATGAAGTGCGTTAGAGTCCTTTGGGGATGAGAAGACTTAGAACATGTTCAATTCCCATCAAATTAATCTAACTGACCCACAGAACCATCAATGCCAGACTTCTTCAGCTACCTCACCAAAGAAAACATCAAGGCAGCAATAATGAGCGTACCACCAATCAAAGCCCCAGAATTGGCCAAACTCCAAAACTGGGTGTGGAAACAAACTTGGCAGCAAGCCAGGAAACACATCAGAGCACTGTTTTTACAAATCACAGAGACTGGTCTAATCCCCAACAACTGGAAACAGGCACGTACAGTCATGCTTCCCAAACCCGGAAAGCCTGATTATACAGCAGCATCAGCATAGAGACCAATTGCTCTTCTTAACACGTTGAGCAAAATCTACGAAAAAATACTCACAAAGCATCTCTCCAAGCAGGTGGAAAGCAAGAGGCTCTTACATGAAGGCCACTACGGAGGATGTCCTAATAAATCAGGACACAAAGCATTAACTCACCTGGTAACCTGGATACGAAAGGAATGGACAAGAGGCCATGTAGTTGGAGCTCTATTTGCTGATGTAAAATCAGAATTTCCATCCGTACATCACCCCAGGCTACTGATCAAATATCTTAGAGAAGGAAGGCTTTCACAGCCAGAGTCTCAATTTGCTCAGGGCCAGTACGGTGCCCAAAAAAAAAAAAAAAAAAAAAAAAAAAAAAAATGAATTGCTCCAGTTTATTTCAAATGCCAACCTGAGTGTTGAACCGTTCGGTACAAGTTTTTTGAAAACCGGTCAAGTGTATACCTCGGAGGTCTACCAGCCAAATTGGTCAACCTGTCAGGTTGGCTGTTTTGCTAGAATCTGGCAGGTTGACCTGGCTATTGCCATAGACTTGCCCGAGGTGATTGTTGTTAGGCTGAAACGAGAGTTGTTGTGATCTCGTAGCCAGACTGATCTGTCTGTTTTTTTAAAAAAATTTGCTCGAAAATGGCCCAAAAAAAGAAAGCAGCGATCCATGAACCAGATGCCGATACACCGAAAGTTCATAAACCAAAGATCTACGCAAGATGGACTGAAGAAAACGAGGCGACAATGATTGATTTTTTGTTGAATGAGAAGGAAGATGGTAGGATATCGGAATCGGGTTGGAAGAGGCAAACGTGGGACCATTGCGCAAAGGCACTCGCAGGAACCGAGCCGCCCTTGAGCCTCAAAAAAACCGCTGAACACTGCTCGACGAAGTTTACAAAGGTATAGTGTTGATCTTATCTCACCATCTTTGATCTTAAAAGTCGCCATGTTGATTCGTTTTGGACCTTTTCTTGTTGAAGGTGAAAGGAGACTTTAAATCCATCAGGGAACTTAGCAAGTGTAGTGGAATGGGCTGGTGCCCGGTGGAGATGAAGTGTGATACTTCACCAGACGTGTGGAAGTATTTGATTGAACAAGACCCAAGCCGAGCGAAATGGGTCAACACACCCTTTCCACTCTTTGATAAGATGGAATCTCTAGTCGGGAAGATCCTGGCTTCAGCAGAGGACACTTTTGATCCGACTCAGGCCACATCAGCTCCGGTCACCCGTGCGAATAGTGAATCATTGGTCAAGGATTCATCTGAGCACGATCAGTCTCAATCATGGGATTTTGATTCAACATACCGGCAATACGACAGCCGAGAGGATGAAGAGGACTTCCTTGTGAGTATGATTTCGAGCAACGTATCGTTTACCAATTGACTAATTTAATTTGATTGTCCAGCACCAGATCGACTCTGAAATGGTGTTACAATCCGGTTTTGTTGGCACTCCAGCTTCTCGTTGTGCCTCTCAAGTACAACAACCCAATTTGGATCTCACCTCGCGCAAGCGTAAGGAAGATCATATGGAAAATGAGGACTTGTCCTCATCTTCTAAACCCCCGAACTCTCGACGCCGCCGGGGGAATAATGGAGCAGACGCACTTGACCTTTTTGGCGACAAGATTCTCATGGGCCTCAAATCAACTGTAGAAGAACCCCAGTCCAAAATTGATACAACTACGCTTCAAGCAATTGAAAAGATAGAGGCTGATGAGAACCTCAATGAGTTGTTTAAACCAAAAGCCATAACCATGTTCCTCCAACATCCAACAATGGCTGGAGGGTATATGGCAATCAAGAATCCTAAACTTGCTAAAGATGTATTATTAGAGATGCTGGATCAGCACACACAAAAGAAATGAAATCCATGAATTTTGATTGAATATATGCATAGTCACAAAAGCTAAAAGAAAACATTTGAGTTTGTTATCGGAGTTTTGTGTCATATGTATAATTTATATTTCCAAACTATCATAATCTGACTTGCCTTCCTATTCTCCTAGCTTCAGCTTCCTGCTGCTTCTTGTAGTCTGCCCACATTTGACTTGCAATCTCATCACGCCATCTTACTGCGTCCATATCATCGTTTGCTCTGTCTTCTACTTCATATATATCTGCCAAATTTGAACCCGAAGTGCTTGGTAGAGGGTTTTCAGAAAGAGCTTGGAATTCAGGGAACTCGGATGCAAGCTCGCTGCTGTCGTTGACACGGATAAAGTTGTGAATCACACACATAGCAGGCACTAATCGCACTTGAGTTTTGAATGGATAGTAAGTCCCATTTTCCATGACTTGGAAGCGCTTTTTGGACACCCCAAATATGCGCTCAATCACCATACGTGCACTGGAATGTTGTAGGTTAAAGAGCTCTTCTTTATTTGCTGGCCTGGATTTTGAACATGAGTCAGCATTGAAATTTGAACAATCCATGTTTTTTCAAGACATACCTCTTATCCTTTAGTCTGGACCACTCCTGTAGATGGTACCTAACTCCTCGATACAGAACTAGACATTTCCGGCTGAGACTGAAGCCAGCATCTCCAAGGTAATACTTGCCGTCAGGAACTGCCAATGATCGACGGCATGAGTCTTCCCACATAGAACTATCTGGCATTGTGCCAGTGTACCCCGGCATAACATATTGAAACATCATGTTGAAGTTTGCAGCTGCCAGCACATTTTGACTTAGATTTGATTTTTGGTCACGGAATCGAGGTCGGTCATCTGGTGAGACATGTACTGGAAGGTGTGTCCCATCTACTGCGCCCACACAATCCTTGAAGTACGGCATGAAGCGTTTGTCTGAAGAAAAGGCAAGTGGAAGCAAAGTGTGCACCGTTGGCTGTCGGACCAAGCTGGTGTAAAAACTACAACCATTGACAGCATCAAGAACTTTGTGAAAAACACTGAGTGCATAATTCAAGGATCAGTTACACAGTCACTTCAGGCAAAAACATACAAAGAGCACCATACCGTGAGATGGTGTCTGGAGACCTTTGAAAGCGTTCTTCAACTTTTCGGACAGAGTTACCGGTGATGATTGTGAATAGAAAAATCGCCATCTGCTCTTCTGCAGTCATGTTTATTGTATCTTCAAGAAGCCCTCGAGCTTTCAAATCATCCACCAATTTAAGGAATATGGGAGGTTTCATGCCCAGTGAATCATAAAGCCGATGTGGATTACTTGATTTCAAAAGCTCATCCAGCCATCCTTGCCCGGAAAGAATAGAGTTGTTCCGTACAGTTGGTGGTCTGCGTTGTGAATGTGATGTGTAGTATTGAGCAGCACCAAAGGCTGCGAAAGCAAGCATCTGTCTTTGAGCTAGTCGGCCTGCGCGAATAACGGGCATTTTGGATGTGATCGAGACTCGAGAGTGAGAGATAGCGAGAATTTTTTTAACTCCAGATCATCATTACAAAATCAAAAGTGTAGGAATCTAGCTATGTACAAAAATTGTCAGATCCTGAAACCCATGATCTGACAGGTTTCAAATCGGTCAAGATCAGGCTACCGAACACATGAAGATGTCAGACAACCTGCGAGGTAGACGTCGTCTACTCGCGCATGCGCAAGTAGACGCCTCTGAGGTGTACACCTGAGAGGTTGAAGGGCACCGAACGGGCCCTAAGTTTCTCTCGGTGATCTGGTAGCAATTGGGAATGGACATGGAGATGTCCCCCTAAATACACACACATGTGAGATAATGTCAACAAGATTTCACGTTGCACTTGCACTCGGCTTGGGGAAGCAGAATCTTTGGACTCACCCAGTTCCTGACCTGTTCGTCCCACACAAGAAGATGGTCATCCCAAGTGGGGCCAGCTGCCTCTTTGGCCTGGTGCACAAGTGACTCACGATCGCCAAAAATGGCAACAGGCCATTGCTTGAACATATGGGTGATTACTGGAGGCCGGAAGTCCTGATATACACCATGAAATTCAGAAGCTCAGCCACATGTGATACATATATCCATAATGCAGCTTACCTTGATAATCAAATGCAGACTAACCACCTTGCCTTCGTCAATACTGGGCTTACCGGCCTGGATGATGGCTTCCTCACGGGCTCTTAATACCACCGCCCGGCTATTGGCTGGGCAGATTCTACCGACTTGACCAATGCTTTGAGCATTCTGAGCTGGAATGACTCAGGAGCGCTTAGGCTGTGGTAAAGGTTGGAAGGCGGCAGGTGCAGGGTGACAAGCAATTGGGGAACCATCAGACCTAATTGGGGCCGTGGGCACCTTACAATGTACATAACAATCGCCGGTGCCAAAAGTTTGACAGCACTACGTTGCAGGTTTATCCAATTATAAGAAAACAGGTCAGAGTAATGCACTTCATTGCCCCATTTGTATTCATATGGTTCAGGAATCTAGACTTACGGACTTGCAATGTTGTCGTACACACCCAGCATGACCGGCAGCTTTGTGCTTGAGGGCAGTGGGGCCCAACGTTGGACGAGTGCACTTGTGTTGAGGAGGGGGGTGTTTCGTACGGGGGCGTTCTTTTTCTTCACGTCGGACAACAACCGCGCCAGCAATGTTCACCGGTGGTCCATAAGCAGAGGGGTTGTATTCAATGGGATATTTATTTCCAGCGTTGATCATGGCAATCTTGTGTTTGAGCTGGTTGAGATAAAACGTCCGGTAATAATGGCCGGAATTTGTGTTGCACTGAAAAAAAGGTGGGTTTAGCCTTTGGTCATTGAATAGAAGTGTCATTAAAACCCTCACCCGTATCTTGACGGTATCCTCACCGGCTGGAATGTAGATCAGTGATGTGTTCTTTGTAGCAGGACATGCATAAGCCCAACATGGCCTCCATGGCGTGGGGTGGGTAAGTCTTTGGATGGTGATACACGACGGTATTTTGCGCTGATGTAAGGCTTTTCTGGCATGACGTTCTTGGTGGTTGAGCAAAGCGAAAATTTGACAATGGGACCATATTGTGCAAAAGAGAATGCCTGTTATACTGTGGTACAGTTGGCGGAAAAGTCTTTGTGTTTCATCCATGGAGAAAGGTGAAAAAAATTTTGTGATCGATAAAAAAAAAGTTGGACGAGACGCGTGGATGACCACCTCCTATGGGTTGTAGGAGGTGGAAAGGGGAAGCGGGTACGGGGCTAGCCACACCCCTCCGCAGCATTCTTTGGTTTGGATATTCACACTAGAAGGATAGGTCAGATCCTGATATGTTTGTAACATGGGACAGTATCGTTGTGTAATTGTCATGTAAAATCACCTGATAATTATCACGTGATAATTATCAGAACATATACACCACAGAGGTGTCTTGGCCGGCTGTAGCCGGCCATGGCAGGCCAGCGGCAGACCGCCAGCGCTTGCATAGGGACAGGCCGTCTGTAGATGGCCCTCACATGAGACGTCTGCCAGACGCCTGCTGGCCTTGTCTGCAGGCCACCTGGATTTCGCCTGCAGGCCGCCTGGATTCTGGCTTTCAACAGTCAGCTGGCTTGATGGCCCGACACATTCACCGGGTCTTTCAGCTCTTGGACACATTTGGATTTTGGACAGGCGATTCAGGCTTTTGGGTGGGCTTAGCTCAGCTCAGCAGGGGCACACAAATTGGACAAATTGATTGATTGATTTCACAGTCACCATCCTCTATCTACAAATCTGGAAACAAGTCTAATACAAGCCTGATAAGAGACAGGGACTACGGAACATGAGAAAGACAAAGAAATCTTATAGAAAGACTCATTGTCAAGAACATAATGGGATACTAATAAGAATGTTGTATAAATTTTGTAATTGGATTGGTTGTTAATGATCACGCAGGAAGCCAAGGATAAAGATCAAAGTGAAACCACGACCAGAAAGCCGTCTTTAACCCCACTCAAAGCGTGTTCACCAGTTACGAGAACACCTGATATCATTATCAATGACGATATCACTCCTTCATCTACTTTGACCAATATCAATGAGCCGATGGAAATAGGAGAAAGTAAGGCTTTGTGGCCTAGTAATTTACCTCCATCGGGACCACAAACTAGTTACTCTGGTTTCAGCAGAAATTTCAGATAGGTAAAATCTAAAACAAGCTGGGTACCAGACAGTAGAGGCCAAAAAGCTAAACTCAAATTGATTTTGACTGATGATTGAGATCACGGTTCCTGTGGTATTGAGACTTATCATAAACCAAGAAAACATCAACATCGAGTCAGGACTTTGATAACAAAATCCAATATCTTTGCTCACCCATCAGCCAGTAAGAAGGATGCGATTAGATATATGAATGTGATAGGCAATTTTTTGGCTTGTCGGATAGCTTTTAACAGATCATCCAACTGACAGTCCAGTAACTTGAACGAGGTGGAAGTGCAGGACCTGGTCGTGAGTTTTGGAAGATAAACCACCATATACCCTAGATGACACAATAGGAATTAGGCTAGATCGTGGATAACATGATGTGAGTCCACATCCTTATGAGATTTTGCTTTTCACAAGAGTGATAGAAGTACAAAAAAACTGACCAAGACAATGGTATATGTATCAACCAATTTCTTGCCATCAAGAGGGATTAGTACTGAAAGGTTGATAATGATTACAAAGAGGTCGCCTAGGTTAGAGTCGAGATCTGATTACATTCCAGACTAAGTTCGATTTTGAGCTCATCCGTGGTGAGAGAACTGGATTGTTGTAAGCCTGCCTTTGCACGTGGGGTATGACAAGCTAGTCTAGGGAAAACAGCTGCATAAAAGACAAGGGTAGCACTATCTATGACGAGGTGCGTGTTTTCAGAGAACTCAAATGAAAACTCTTCAAGGCAGGATTATCAAGACTGACTACAAACAGGTGACAAAACCAATCATGTAAAGTGCCATTGCCCACCTCCATCTGGAAGGTTCTTCATTGAGAGCCAAATTACAGTACTGACTAGCCCAACATATAAGGGTAAGTATCAAGAGACTGTTTTTTCTTCATATTTGTTTGTAAAAGAAGCAAGAGCGGGAGAACAGACACTTACTGAAATCGAAGATAAACCTGTGTGTTTCAAATGCTCTAAAGCACGATGAGGTTGAATTAAACCGTCTCTTTTTGAATTTGGAGTGGAAAATTGACTTTGAAAGTTCATGCTATGCAGGAGGCCAGGGATGAACGTGTCACATTTGACCTAACCAATCTCTGGTGTTGCGGACTTTGCAACTTGAGTGATGTTTGTGGTTGGCCTCTGGTGGCGGTCTCCTGGCCTTTTGCAGGCGGATTTCTGCTTGGATCAGGCCGCATGGAGGATGCCAGGTGGCAGGCTGCCTGTTGTTGGCCTGCAGGCCGCTCCTCATTCTTAATTTTGGAAAGAATTGCTTGCCAGAAGTATGCCTGACTGCAGCCCGCATCCAGATGGCCTGCAGTCGGTCTTGAGGCCGATTTTTGACCTGACCATTCTCAGACGGTGTCAGGCCAATTTCTGACAAAAGACCCTCCCGTGGTGTACGAAAGTCCGATGCTCCCTGTTGATCAGTCAACGATCACTCCCAGAACTGATGATTTAGACCAGCTTACATTCCTGGTCTGCTTCTTGACCCCTAACCCTAACGAACACTCTGGGTTACTTCTTTGATCTCAAATTCACTACACGCATCACTCGCATACTTCACCATTTGGGCTTTCTCTGAATACCATCGCACACATGCCTATAGTCATGAGATCGATTGGAGCATACACTCGAGCGGAGTTTCTTGCACATTGGATGCTGTGATGGAAAGAAGAAGGGACCGGGTCTTCTGTAAGCACTCCAGTACATGTCCTATACGGGTCCAGTATTGGAGTATTGGGACAGGGGCCGTTTGCACATGGCTCAACGGGATAGCTGGATGGAATTCCAAAGGCTCGGTGTAAATTTTTCCATTATTGAGCTTTGATCAGGTCCAATGAGGCTCTTGATTCGGACCCGTTCGATTCACTGCTCATGATCCTGCCAGGTCACCAGGGCCCTGTGGGTATGGAGTGCATGAGTTACTTAAACCCTCTTGCTTTGCAAACATTGCTTCGGTGTTCCCCAGTTTTCTTTTCCCAATTTCTGCATAGAAGGCCATTCACTTCACGTATTCGTCTCTTAGCGTTATATCGACTTTTGGCATCCACTTGCTCCTTTCAATCACTTCTATATTTGTTTAAAGTTTCAATCGTTCAGCTGGTCAACTTAGTTCCACGCCTATCTGAACCGTCTAAAATGTACAATTTCTCTCATGGCGTCGCCGTCGCCGCTTCCATGTTACTCCTTTCGTTAGTATTTGCCTCTCCGCCTACGTCCCCTCATCCAAAGGGTCTCTTTACCAAGCGTAGCTCGATTACTGCCCCCCACCAGGGTAAGGGAACCAACTGGGGAGGAAACTGGAAAGGCGGGAAGTACGTTGATCCCATCTTTCTACCATGGATCTGAACAGGCCCCCCGTTTAACACTCTCTTTTCACCCGCAGCTGTGTATTCGCCTATTGGGATCAACCTGCGCGCTATCCGGAGATCGCAATGGGAGGTGACAACTGGGACGATGGGTTATATTGTGGAGCCTGCATCGAAGTCCAGTCGGGTCCCAATCCGCCAGTCGTGGGAATAGTGGGTGATAAATGTCCAAGTTGTGAGAGAGAAAGTCTTGATCTCGACCCGGAGATGTGGAGAAGAGTGAGCGGTGGCGCCAGTCCGTCAATCATCCCGATCAAATGGTATGTCCCTTGCGTCCAAATTCTGTAAACCAAATTATGGACGTGAAAGATTGACTTTAAACATTGGGATATCTAGGAAAGTTGTTCCATGTCAATTCAACAAGCTTCCGATGCTACTCGTGAAGAAAGAAGGCATGAGCCAATGGTGGTTTGCTGTCCAAGTCGCCCAAAGTGGTCAGCCAGTATTGAGTCTCAAATACCGACCCGTGGGTACACAGGCCTGGCAAAACACCAAAAGAGACACCAATTCCAACTACTGTAAGCAATTATACTTCCATGTTGACCTGATACCCACAGGAAGCCTCGCGCTCATCATCCCCTTGCGCTCCATTCTAGTCATGAGTGCAGGAGGGATACCTGCCGGCAAAGCTGCTGATATCAAGGTATGTTGCGCCGACGGAAAAACCGAAATTATCACCCCTAACGTCGACCTGAGCGGGCCTGGTGTCGTTCACGCTCATGGGAATTGCCCTCCATCTCTCTGAGATCCACGTTCTTTTTTCAATGTATATGTGTACTGCCCTTGTCATATGATAAGTACCACTCCAACTCTCGATATTTTTTCTCTACGGAACGTTGTTCGGAAATCTTGTACCTACAAATAACTCCACATGGTGCAAGACATCAATATAGTCAGTCCTTTTGTGGTCACTTTTGGATCTTCTTCATACGCAAGCACTTGTGATATGGCAAAGATTTTGGTCCAACATCAAAGCTTGGCGAAACAAATGCATGGTCGAACTTGAAATTTGAAAATCGCTGTGGGCGCATGCTCAAAACAATGGGACGTCTTCTGACACTGGGTCCTTTCTAATGACTTTATTCCAGATCGTCGCCTCGTATTCAAAAGATTCATTATGTACCTTGCAATCAAACAAAAGCTTGGCTTCTCTTCATGTCGCCAAGGACCTTTGAAAATACTTCACTCCTTTTTTTCGCCATCTCTTCCGAGTTTCTTTCTGATTGATTTGATGATTTAATGGGTTTTATGACTTGGAGTGTCATTGACAAGACAATTGATTCGGAACTCGTTCAATTCAATCTTGCCAAGTCATCAGATACGTTGACCGGAGGATATGAAGTAAATGAACCACTGAAAGCTTCTCCCTTTGCACCATTTGCCATGGCTCTCTTCAGCTCTTCAGCCTTCTTCTTGTTCCAATTCCTGCATAGATAGCATGCCAGCAATTTTGCGTAAGATCGCTTAATCTCTCTTTGAGCACTTCCCAGATTCTTTACAAATTTTGGTATCTTCTTCGTCTATATTAATTTTTATAAATAATTCCGCTTGTCCGAACTTTCAAAAAAGCATACACGGCCATTTTAAGCTTCTGATATGTGGAATTATTATCATCAGATCGCTGTCGCCGCTTCTACCTTACTTCTTTCGTCCGTATGTGGATTACTACCTACGGGACCCAATCGCCCGGGAGACTCTACCAAGCGCGTCTCAATCACTGATCTCCGTCGTGGAAAGGGAACTCACTGGGGAGGAAACTGGAAAGGAGGAAAGCAAGTTATTTCATGATATCCAAAGTTTCTTTGAGGTCCGCTCTGTGTGACCTAACACCTTTTACTGCAGCTGTGGATTTTCCTCCTGGAATCAACCCGCGCGCTATCCACAGATCGCCATGGGGGGCGACAACTGGAACTCTGGATTATTTTGTGGAGCCTGCATTCAAGTCCAGTCTGGTTCTAAAGCGTCAGTTGTCGGGATAGTGGGTGATCAGTGTCCCAGTTGTGAGAAAGAAAGCCTAGACCTCGACCCGGAGATGTGGAAACGAGTCAGCGGTGGCGCCACTCCAGGAATCATTCCGATACAATGGTATGTCCCTCGCCTAAAGTTTTCGTAATCTCTAGTATGGATTTGGCATTATCGACTTGAACTGATCGTATTCAAATTTCTAGGAAAGTTGTCCCTTGTCAATATAACAACCTTCCGATGCTTCTAGTCAAGAAGGAAGGCATGAGCCAACACTGGTTTGCTATTCAAGTTGCCCAAAGTAGCCAGCCAGCATTGAGTCTACAATACCGACCTACGAGTACAAAGGCCTGGCAAAACACCAGAAGAGACACCAATTCCAATTACTGTCAGTGATTCTACTTTCAGATTGATCCATTACTCGCAAGAAGCATTATGCTCATCGACAGCTTGCGCCTCATCTTAGTCATGACTGCCGGAGGGGTACCTGCCGGGAAGTCTGCAGATATCAAAGTAACCTGTGCCGACGGAAAAACCGAAATCACCACTCCTAACGTCGACTTAAGCGGGCCTGGTGTCGTTCGCGCCAACGGGAACTGCCCTCCATCACTTTGAGTTTCACGCTCGTTCTTCCAATGTACATACCAATTTTTTCATGTGATCAGTGATCCGCTCCGACTCTTGACTTCTTTCCAGAACACTGCCGAGGAATCTTGTACTTATTGTAGATATGTGTATACATGATGCAAGACATCAATTTAGCCAGTTTTTTGTGGTCACTTATGATGCTGTTTCGTGCACAAACTCGCTGACAGATGCGGAGACTTGCAATGCACGTTTGATTTAAAAATGTAGAACTTTGGTATATATCTACATGCATCACAGAAAGACTGATACCTTTCTCCCGCATTTCTAAGTGTCGCGCAGCATCTTGTAAAACAGCGTTACATTCCTATACCCGCTCTATCATCACCCGCTTCCGATAAAACCACACATGAGCCCCTCCATCGATCCATTCTTGTGAGGCGTGCAGGTGCACAAGAGTGCCTATGTTACTCTTGTGTCAGAACAAGCCGCTATCAGCAGGATATAATCCTAGCTTCTAGGAACTGTCCTATCACGGACCAATAGAACAACGACCCCTACATACGGGGTGGCATCCTACTAGGTCGTGGTTTGAGGGTGTTCCCAAAGGTAAGGAAGAGTAGGAGGATTGGTTCCACCAACCCTCATTCCTTACCCGTAGGACGAGAACAGCTTCGAGAAGTGAGGACTTCTCGACCGGAGAGGTGGGTGGGTTTTCAAACCAATGAGATCTCTAAAAGAGAGACTTGTAGGATCTCCAGAGTGCGGAAACAGGAAAGTGACGAGACTCGAGAGTGGTGGAGTATGGAGAGAAAAAAAAATCTGATTACATATCTCTCGCCACCACCCTTAAACTAAAATACGTTACAGGTGTGATCCAGCTGTCACAGGTGAATCTTTCCTCTAGAGTCTATCCGCACCTGTAGCTTTATAGCCTCTAGAAGTGTAAATTTAATCATGAGTGCCTTCGCGAGCTCTGGGCACACTGCCAAGAATTGAAGCAAGGCAAACGAAACTCGCGTAATCTAGAAATTTGGTAAGTGTCTCTTGAGATTTATCCTCATCTATTGCATCTTCATTCTAGGACAAGAAGCCATATTAAAATTTGTTTTCCCTTTCAAACAACCGTCCATCTTAGTTCCTTCTGGAGCTGTATACATTGATGGAAGACCTGGATTTGGAAATATTTTTGACTTGCTGCATTGCTAAATCACTCAAAGTAGCAACCAAAGAAAGTTGTCTCTGTATTCCTTCAGTTGCGCGCAATTTGAACCTCGATGGAATTGTTGTGAATGTTAAAGAAACATGGATCTCACTGCTTTGATAAGGCTAAAGGCAACACTTTCAATGCGAAATGTCTTTGTAACACCAGTGCAACATGCTCAGGCAAATACATGCAATTGACTGACTCCGCGGATACAATAATTAATTCATACTTTGCAATCCTCTCATGAAAACATTACATGGACATGAGATTTTGAAAGCTGAACCTTGTATTACATAATGTCAGATATAAGGCATGAAAGTGCTGCTTCAACTCCAACATCGAGATGAAAGGGTGTAGGCAAGAGAAGTAGAACATGATCGCCAGTAGTATTCTAGTAGTTTTCAAAAGCGGAGACTTAAATAAACGTAGCATTTACTGATCAGATACATACAAAAAATAATCTAAAAGTAAGACCACATCATTAGACATTATTCGCCGTACAGGTATCTTCTAGTTTTGTGTTGTTAGGAAATTTGCTGAGTGGATAGTGGAATGTGTACATTGTTAGGCTACAACTTGGGTAGAGAATCTTGAATGATGGGATTATTGCGGGCTAGTCTAGAAGTCTCAAATCAAGAACGCCGTATGATTGATAAGTATAATAATAAGTATGGATGAAGATAATGTGAACAGTGTGTTCAATCCTGTTAGAAGATGTGATGCCGAGCTGTTGGCAGAATTAGAAGGAGATGATAAGGTGTGAAGGATACTGATAACAAATCATAGTATCTGTCAGCGAAATGAAAATGACGATTTGTACGACTCATGCTGACCTGGGGAGATGTTCTTGAGGTTTACAATCCGAAGATGAACATATATAGCCTCTTGATAAAGATTTAGATTGAGGTCCTAATGGCCCATCATCGTAAAAGCATTCAGAACCGATACATGTCTGGTGCTAAAAACGTAGACGAGTGACAATGATTAGAATCTCAACATTGTTGGTCTGATTACATATGTGTGGGCTACTTACTGGGTTTGATATTGGATACTTTTGATCACCCCAATATCCCAAGAATTCCAACCAGCCAAGACCATTTGGGTCTTGGGCTGCTTGAGGAGTATCACCAGTGTAAGAGAAGCCGGCCTCATTTGAGTAGTAATATGCTTGGTAATTTTGTGTCAAGTCCCACAGATGGCCTTTGTCTGTGACATCATAAATGGGAATTTGAAGGCCTGTGTAGTTTTGAATGCCGACTTCTGGATACATCTGGAAGTGCAAGTGGTAAGGGAAAGTTTTCTGTTAGAATGACTGTGATGTGATAGTTATGATTATCGATAAACTACTTGCCCCATGAGTTCCATTCGCTGAATACACAATTGGACGGTTGTCTTTCTTCTCCAGGACATCAAAGTTGAAAGCGCCATTCCCCAAGACGACTTCTCCCCCGTGTGCCTCAGGGGCAACATATACTGGTTTTCCATCACGAAACCTGATCATTGTATGTTCCTGTGAGTACATGAAATGGTTTCGAAGAATTAGCTCTATATTGCGTATTAATTCTTTACATGACTCCTCATAAACTGACCCAGTCACCGACGTGATCACCGAAACGATTGTTATAGAAATAGTTGCCTTGATTATATGCGTAAAAAAATAGATAAAACACGTCCACCCATCCTGGTCCAACTTCAAATCAGACATGAATATATCTATCGTCAACTGAGAATATACGTACGATGTAATAGCTAACTAATATAATGGAGTACATACCCTGTTGTGACTTATCCATTGCGATGATGATGGCAGCAGCTTTTGATTTCCCAGTCGAATCGGGTGGTCCGACCCCGTACAGCCTGAGTATGGTTTTCAGTAATGAAAAGACAGCCGGGCACAGTCCGGGGTTTTAGGGAAGAAATTATGACGTCAGTACATGTCTTGATCGCTGGCTGGTAAATAACGGGGCATTACCAGGGATCTTTTGGCTCTTTGAAAATATCGCTTTGTGATGTAAGATAGACTTTACTCTGATCTGGGCCTTGTCCTAGTTTATCTGCGTGAAGATATGTTTCGGAACTTGAGCCCATGACTGATGGGAATTGGGGGATGACCGTATAATTAACTTCTGGTGCCACATTTGTTAAAAATGATTTGATATCCGCAGGATAAAAAATTTCCTAATGTTCAAATTTGCTTCAGATCTCGTATTACCGTTGATAGAAAACTTAGGTTGGTAAGGAAATGATAGCCGACCTGAGAGTGAAGATAGACGTAGGGGGCGAATTCGAGTGCATAACTCGGAAGGGTTTGATTGGGAAGGAAGTCAACCTTGGGATCAGGTAGGCTGAAGGCCCTTAGTTCAAGTAGTACGCTTGATAAAACATTCAATCCGATAAGAATATAATGAGAGTGAAGTCTGGTTGGACATGTGATCATTTTGATTTGCCAAAGGAAAGTAAGTGAGCTTGATGGTTGAAGATGAAATTGAATTATGTCGGGTGGTGTAGTGAAAGTCAAACCGTTGAGGTTGAATATGTTGGTTGGGGGGTTGAACGCTTTGTGAAAAGGGTACGAGAAGATGTTAATGAAAATGGAAGTACCTCGACATGTTCATTGCTCTGAGCCGAGCTTATAAGGAGATGAAAACTCATTGTTCAGTCAGTTTAATTATGAAGGCGATTCGGTATCATAAAAATGGCAAGACAGAACCTGCGTCTCATTAGAATCAATTTCCTTAATTGAATAAAGTTGTAGTTGGTCAGACTGATTTAGTCTTAGGAAGGAGGTGGGCCATATTCCATCTGATGGCAAATACTTGAGCTAACTTCTACTCGATAAACTTTTCAGCAGTTAGTACCAGCCAGTATCTGAACCAAATTCACGTCTGAGGACCATCTCTCTTCCAGCGGTACTGTGCTTCAGCTTATTCTAACATCTTTTGCCGGTTCAGAGATCATTGGCGGATCAACTAATGAATCACTTCGAATCACAGGATTGCCATAATAGACAGGTCTGAATTAATTCGGGTTGGTAAGTCAAGCGAGAGTTGAAAACCCCCGTAATGCAGAAACGACTAGTCTACAGCGGCACAGGGTAGGACATAAATCCAATGGCTTTTCAATCGAAGGGACTATCTTCACCAGACTTTCTAACAATTTCAGCACGCATGAACCAGCTGAGCTTTGCGAACAATGTGAGAGTGCTGTGGCAGAATCAAATCATCGGCAAAATTTAAAATTTAAGATCCTCAACAAGCAAGGAAAGACGTCGAATCATCATATATAGTTTACAACTATTGTCAAACTCCGCCAAGCGATCAGGCTAAGCTCTTCATGATGAGGTAGGTTTCCGAAAATTGTGATTCCATTTCATGCAGTCTTTGTTTACTAACCTTAAGCACCCTCATGAAGGCATTAACAATCCTCAGCCGGTCCCTTGGAGCTGTTGAGAATCAGGTACGCTGAAGTGTTTTGATGCACAAATTGGTAAGCTCTGTACGCTCCCCTACATACTGTTAAGGATGACACCGCGGGAATTAATAAGACCAAAATCCGATTGAGCGAAATTGCGGTGTCCGAGTCCGCAATTCCGCTCCATCGTGGATCAGTTCACAACTCGTTCGCATTATGTTCACAAGGGCAAGAAATACAAGAGTCAAAGACAAGCACTACGAAAAGAACTAAAGAAGGAGAAAAAAACAAGGTTGACATCAACTCGGCATCAAGACTTTTAGACACACCAGAAGTGTTCCCATATCTCGCACAATTTATCAAAGACACAGGCAGATTCAAATATTTGAAGACATATTTAGAGAATTAAAATTATGCAATCGTTTCTTTTCCTATGGCTTTGTTTCTATTTTTTTTGTCTCCATTCTAATTTCTTTTGTCTATAACTTCTGGGCGCGTCATTACCACAAGGAAACTTGTGTAAAGGCTTGGTAGTCCGATACAAAGTAGATTCAAAAGATGTTGTAAACTTTTATAGTACTTACATTAGACATACAAAAAGCCAGTCAGTGCGATATGTGAAATCAAAAGCACTTAAAAATACAAAAGAAGTTTTAAAAAAATGTTCACAAGTTTTCCTCGAGTTTCCCTGTCAATCCTATGTATATATACACAGCCGTTTCAACAAAGATTGATTTTCTTTTAAAATCTCGCCAATGTACAAAACACGGGTTTTGTCCCTCACTTGATTTTGTCTCTCCGCTAATTGGAAGATGGTGACTTCACACCAAAGGAACGACGTGTGGAGAGTTTCCATGGTCGTGGAGAGAGGGTGACAGGAGAGTAGAGTCTTCCCATGTCACGGCTAGTGACAGGGGAGGTGACCCGCGGGGGAGAAGTGGCGTCTCTGGCGTGAAGATTTTCAACCTTTAGACCACTTCTACTCAGCACCCACAGAGGATTACATTCTATGTTCTCTAGCCGTCGGAAATTTTTTTCTCTAAGTCTCACAATTTCTCTCATACAAAAATTTTCTTTTCTTTTTGACCCACTCACCTCCCTAGGCTAGAACCGTACTCTCTGGGTCCACAGGTCTGTCGGGCTTTGGGGTAGGCAGACACCGGGGGTGATCTGTTCAGGCTGATCCTGCGACGGTCCCGGTTGAGACCTACCCTCCCACAAAGCCCCCCCCCACCCTAGCATGTACTTAGTTAATTGTAGGTTATGTTAGCACGACCTGGGTTCAGGAAAAGATATATAAAGAAATATATACAATAGACGGGCTAGTCCAACCCAAATGTAATAGAGATGGAATACAGAAAATAATAAACCTGTAATCCAGTCTTGTCTTTGGGTTTAGCCGCTGCAGAGACAACTTTAACCAAAAAAAAGTTGTCAACCCTTCTTGAAACAGCTGTACACACAAAATACATGAACAAAGGCCCCTTTCAGAGCAAAGATTTACCTTTGAGAATGTTTAGCAAATCCAGAGTTGATGACTGAGGAATCTGTAAACATAGTGGACTCAGGATTATTGAGAACTTAGAAGGATGAAGGGTGACCAGTTGACCCAAGCCATTTGCAGCTCAAGGGAAACTTGTGAAAGTAATGTGAACAAGTTGTGAACTAGATCCACAATTGAGCAGAATTGCGGACTTGTACACCACAATCTCACTCAATTGGGTTTTGAAATTATTGATTCCTGCGGTGTGAGTGTAATCATTAAGTCCAATCCAGATGAAACATATTGTAGTTTACAGCCGGCATACATACTGAGGCTTCTGCTAAAGATGTAAACTCAACAAAGTCCCACACTCGCCTCAAGCAAGGCTGAAGTGAGCAAGAGACTTACACCAAACTTGCACGCTCCATAACCTTGCGGTAGAGACTTTTGCAGGGAGCCTCCATCATTGGCTTTTATCTCATTCCACACCAAGGATTTTGGTATGGTCCAAAGAGAAAAAATATCTCTGGCACATATTGTACAAATTTTTAACAGACAAAACTGCTCCCTCATGAACAAAATTGCTACAAAGCTTTGGCTTCAATGGCAACTCCACATGTAAATCACACATGTAACTGCTGCAAATAGGAAGTGTTGGTGAGAATGGTTGGTTTTGTTATACCATTATTCACATAACAAGAGCCCTTTCCTAGGTGAAGAATTTGTGCAATATGTGTCTTACTCTGGCACATATTTCTTTCCATTGGACCATGGCTGAATCCTTGGTGTGGAAAAAAGATAAAGGGGATTGAAGGAAGCACCCTGCAAAACCCTTTACCCCAAGGTTATGGAGCATACAAGTTTGGTGTAAGTCCCTTGCTCAAGGCGGGCATGGGAATTTAAGTTTACTGAAGATGCAGCTCGCTCAAACTCATTAAATTCCTAACTTAACAAGGTCCCTCAGGCTCAACACCTGTCAATCAACAAGTTGAATCATGATGTTTTTTATGCATTGCTTAAAGTGCCTCCTGAGCCGTAGGCTATCAGACACTTTAACTACTTGTGCTCTGCTCTGGTAAAAATCCCTGTGGGGAAACAGACACATGCTGGCTGTCTAAGGTATTACAAGTGTTAATGGGGTACATGCGGTGGCACTAAAGGATGGTGTATACTGAATGATTGGATAAGGGGGTTGTGAGTTCTTAAACTTTCTTGAGGGGATTCCTCTTCTGTTATACCAATTGATGCTGGAAAAATTGGTGGAACATATTGTGGTGGTACTTTGGTTTTGATGTTTGTGCCTGTTGGATGATTGCAAAAAGTGGATGGTGATTTGGTAGCGGTTGGCAGGAAATCCTTCATGTGCTTGCTAAAAGGAGGTAAAGAAGATCCTCTCCGCCAAGAAGAGCTTAAGCCCTCAGGCCAAAAAGCTGACCTTTGGGGTAAGTCCCTCTGGTGAAGACATCCTAATTCAACTTGTTGATTGACAGGTGTTGAGCCTTGAGGGACTGTTTTAAGTTAGATTAAATTCCCTCCCTCACAAGGTGTGATGTTCCTTTGAGAGAGGGACCTGATTGGGTTTAATCAAATGCCTGTGTCCAATGGCAGATTGCAAATAGAGTCTATAGAGTCTATGTAAGAAAGGGCATGAGCTGCTACAACAGCATATGTATCACCTTACTTTAGGCGCTGTGATCTGGCTGTGAGGCCATGTTGAATCCGTCTTTGGCCATGGGATACTCAGGAAAGTTACCATCTTGCAGCATCAGGCAGGCCCTGGTATGGGCCAGCCCTTTTTGAGCTAGTTTGAGAGCTTGGAAGGTGTTCTCAATAACATGGATCATTCACAATTGAGCATGTCACCAAGAAGTGTAGAGCAAGAAAACAAACAAGTGTAAAGAAAAAACACCATAGCGAATAATTAAACATGAGAAAAAACTGTGAGAATTGATGAGTGTAAAGAAAACATAGAGAGGCAGGCTCAGCCCCAATCGGAACTGGAGCAGGGTCTTTGTCTCTGCATCAGGTTAGGGCTTAGATGGTGGGCTTGACATTGACCTAGCCTTGGATACGCTTGGGTACACTCAGCCAGACATGCAGTAATTATAAAAAAGAACCATGTAATATTTTAAGGATCCTATTTAAAGTAAACACAAACAAATACTTGTATATAATAACAAATTAGACATATAGGGTGCAAACTGTCAATTCCTATCTTAGTTCTTATTCAGTCATCATGTTTACTTCTCTTTATTTTTCTGTTTCTACATGATAATCAAAAGAAAGCACATCTATGGTTTAATATACAAATTGCACATGAATAACTTGTGAAGATGATACTTTGTGATTTTTTTCATCACTAGAGAATAGGTGGGCCCACCCGCGTACAGTTCCCAGTGTTAGTACTCCAATAACACCCGGGAATAAAGATTTGTTACATTTCAAGTTAAGATACACAGTTGGCATATTATTATGATCAAAAAGATTCCAATGCGGCCCCTAACACACATATTTTAGAATGCAGTACCCTTCACCGTGCTTGA